GTTCGTCGAATAAATTGTAACTTTCGCAACAAAATCTAATTTTTGAAACCTACTTAACCGTACGAAAATCTAACTTCCGAAAAGTCCATTATTTGCAACAAAAACAAATTTGAAAATCTATTTTTCCCCAAAATCTAACTTTTGTAACAATACCTAACTTTTTAACTTATCCGAAAACCTAACTTTAAAATTCTGCAGAAAATACACAAAATATACAAATATGGCGTAATCACATCGTAAACACTGTCTTCTAGGTTCTTACCAATGTATGGAATGGATCCAATAAAACCCCTCGCTGTGTCGGACATCTCCAGGTCACACCTGCTCGCCGGCAGCAGGTATGAGTAGCCCACCGGCTCCACTATGGCTGCCACCAGGCATAGCCCCAGGACGAAGCAGTATTTTATGTTGTAAATACCTAAACCTGAAAACAAAAGGCTTTCAAGTTTCGCATCATAAATAATGAAGGTTCAAGTTTTACCTCTATGAGGTGCAATAACATATTATCGAATTTAAACCCTCTATTGTTGGAACTTCTGAAACATTGTGATGTGAATAAATGAATATGAATACAATATGAATATTCTGCAACAAGGGGTGTAACAAATTTTAATGTCAACTGCAAAGACAGTCCTTGAAACTTATTTTTAAATAATTTAAAGCCAAAGCACACAATGTGATGCGACGCCGCACCACAAAAATTCACAGAATCGCGCGACGNNGCGACGGGGCGCGCGGTCCGCGCCTTCGCGCCAAATCGCTCGTGTGCCAGTCACAGATATTTCAATTTAAGACGACGCAGCGGCACCTCTCCGGCGTCGCAACGCCGCCGCAACGCATCGTGTGCTTCGGTTCTGTAAATGGTATTGAATAAAATTACATAAGCATAAAAATTATATAGTCGAGACAAATTGTCTTTAAAATGGACACATTAGTTGTAAATGTTCAGTGCGTCATAGAGCTACAGAGCGCACACGCTACTTTCAGCATCAGCGATCGGCGATTTAGCCATTTTTTTGATGCTGAATGCAGCGACCACACATTCCATCCACACTGCACCAAACGCGGCGAAGTCGCTTTTCGGAAGCTCGACGCAACTACAGCAGCAGTGGCGGATTTTCAGTTTTGCCGCCCTTTTATCTTCTGAAATCGAGTAAGCGTCATCTGAAATCTGCCGCCCCTAGGCCGCGGCCTATACGGCCTATTGACAGATCCAGGACTGGACAGCAGTCGCTAAAACGCGCGATTAATCAATATAACAAACAGTCTGCTGTGACCTTTAGGCCCCTCTACCTCTGGTATCAGTTTGACGTGCTAATTTTAGGACACTCTGTATAAATATGTAGTTAGTTTGTGGTCTCTAAAGTTGGCTAAAAAAAGGTAATAGCCCCAAACAGGTCGACTTTGAATGCACGTTAATTTGTTTGAGCTTACCTGGAGATTGCATCATTCCCATAAAATATTTTATAGGAAGGACCAGAGGGCTTAGTGCGAGTTTACATCAACGTTATCACTAGCGAGCGCGATAAAAAATATATGAAGATTTTAGTTCTTGAAAGTTTCCGCTAGGGACGCTGTACAATCTGTCATACATTTAATGTCACATTTTTATGCAGTCGACATCAGTCGACATGGAATGCGTTTGACGTAAACTCACACTACGCCCACAGTTGATTAGGATGGTAATAAAATAATGATTAAGAACAAATAAATCCTGTTGAATAACCACACAGATCTTTTTATATTAGTTGAATCTGTAGTGAGTGAAAAGGCAGGTATTTTAGTAAGTGACCTAGTACAATTTAGTATTAATAGGTATTATATTATCTATACCTAAGTAGGTACCTACTTATGAGTCCGAAAGTAACTCTCGGTGTGATTATGATGATGCCTACGATCTTACCTGTGATCTCACTTACATATCAATTTTCCTGTTCATTAATACGCATCTTTTTATTAAGTCGGAGAGCTCTTGTATGTACAGGCGCCATTAAATGAATAACCGGTCAAATGCAAAGTAACCATTGCGATATTGGAGTGCCCAACAAATGCACATATCAACACGACTATTTAATTCAAGATAAAATAATAAAAGATAAATAATGAAAGGTTAGATCCTCAAGATCCTTCTTTATTGACTTCGGGGCCGGAAAAAACAATTTTTGTACCAATTGAGAAAAGTAAGTAGGGGAGACTGGGGCTGGTTTTAACAGGGGTAAATACTAACAGCGTAATTACATAGAACCTATTCGACTTACCACGCTAATTCCAACGCACTTTGTGCCTACGAATAAGCGCGAACGTGTCTCGACCTGTCAGTTGCCGGCCAAGCGTCACGGGAGCAGGTTGCGTCAGACGCCTCCAATTTCACAGGAAAATTGAACTTTTTACGTGTNGTTTCTAATAAACATTGATTTATTATTTTGTTGTTTATCTTAGCCAAAATCCCATTCCCAACTATAAATCATTTCTTACCCCCCCTGTTAAAACTTTCCCCAGCGATGTTAAAACCAACCCCAAACCGGGGGTAAGATCTAACAAGTGACTTGTTTGGCAAAACTCGATTTTTCTCAGATATGGTAATTATTATATACATTTTGTTGTACTTTACGTAAAGCTCATTAAATTTGACATCACGTACCAAAAAACCATGTTTCTTGCTAAAGCAGTTTAGAAAATATTACGCTCAAATCAAAATTTGTTAGAACCAGCCCCAGTCTCCCCTAATTCGCGTTATACTAAAGCTAAGTTGCACTATCTTACTTTAACCTAACTTTAACATTAACCAGTGTTTTTTGTATAGAGTTTGACAGAATTTTGACGTTTGTAAAAGTTAAAGTAAGATGGTGCAACTCAGCCTAACAATAGCAGTTTGTTTTGTTATCTGACCCACGCGTTCAATGAAATACACGGTGCTCAGCTCTTCTTTACCAATGAACTATCGAGTTAGGTCGAAAATGCAATGTGATAACAAACAATATGATACAAGTTGAGTAGTTAACTTCTAACACCAAACTGTAATTTTTTCTATAAATAAAACTGATGTTTTTTCCAATCGGAGATTGTACAAGGTAATTATCTATCTATGTCTTGCTAGCTAATAACTAATAATAAATAATACGGTATTAGAACAATTATTGTAGTGATCTTAAGCTAAAATATAAAATTTATAATATTTTGACTCACCTACGACATTTAAAGCTTGATCCAAATCAGCTGTATACTTCTCACTGTCATCAACATTTTTCGATAAAGTACTTAATTTGTTCGTCATTCTGTTGCCCTTAATATTATTCACTATTAGTTCAACAACTTTTTAATCACTTCACATTATACTCTTAATTTAAATTAAAGTCAATCTTGTGAGATAAGATAGTTGTTTAGACGTTGTTTTCTAAATGAGTATTATTCTATAGAATATTTAATTTTTTGACGCGTGTATCTCATTCGATGCGTATTTTTTTTGCGGTAGTGCAGGCGTGCGTTGCCCGCAAGACACGAAGTGGTAATGATGTGCTCGGAACTTTAGTCAAGAGTAAGAAATTAGATGTCTGCAGCCCTGAAAATACGTGTGGTGCTTTAACAAGCGCCTAATATTTTTAAACTTTCAGAAAGTTACTGTTGTACTGCTTACGTTACGCCTTAAAAGTGATTGAGGAACTGGGTGTTTATCCTCGTAAGTAACATAACAGATCCAGTATGTAACAAAGATTATCTTGACACTCTCAAATAGAATTAATAGGTACTCTGAGATTTTTTAAATAATAATTTCAAATACTCTACCAATCATGTATCAGCGTAAGTTCACGGTTATAATAAACGCTACTTTATTTTAATTAAAACAATATTTAAGAATGGAATAACGAGAGAGATAATTCTTCAGCAATCAATTTTTTGTGATCGGAGGTGTGAAATCCCTCGATTCCCTCTGGAATTCCTCACTCTCACTTACGGTTTGGAATGGATTCAATATGGTCTAACGTCGTAACATAAACTGCCTTAAACCCTTAAACCTTATCACCAAAAAATTACATACAGATATTATGTACTAGCTATATCTTAATATGAATATTATGGAGATTTTTCCCAACAGTAAGCGATTCCTTTATCATCATTCCACTTTTATATACTTACCATAAAAGTAAGTTCTTAATTCTGCGCTACTATTAGTTGCCACTCATTCATACACACACCTCAAAAGATATTTTGAAAGTAAAGATTTGGATTTATACTCAATAGTTTTGCTAATGTAGAGACTTTTTCGATGAATCTTCACTCACATCACAATAAAAAAGACATCGCCGCAACTATTTTCTCAGATATTTGCGAGAACTTACTAAGCATAATAAGCAAGTTAGCGTTCTAGCGCTAGCAGAATATTGATCAAACATCAAGTCTTGGCGTAAGTTAAACACGCAATTTTGAGGCAAAAATTGACATCTACGATATTACTGCTATAATATTTAGTAGTTAAGTTTTAATAAACTGTAAAAGGGTTATTTTTAGGTACTTCATAACTGCTTAGTCATGTTATTACCACTCAACCATCGAGTAGGTACATAAGTCATCGGCCACCTTGCGTTTATGACGGATTAAATGTAACAAATCTGCAAAGTTTGTGCATTGCGATAAATAAACGCCAATTGATTTAATCTATACACAGGCACGTCATGCACATTAAACTGATTATCTAGATTATATAGATTATAATTTATTGGGTTTCGCTTGATGAAGTGTGAACGCATCTCGTTTTGTGTTGTCTATCTATGCACATCTCTTATTCTCCGGTATATGGTCACGGTGTGCGCGTTTCTATTGTTTTAATTGTTTGATAAAATAAAACTACTCGTAAGTTCAATTCAATCTAAAGATTTATTATTTCATCATCGCTGGAGTTAATGGCCTTTGGAATCCAAAAGGTTGCAACACTTTTGGAACTTGTTAAATTAACTTTGTAAAACGAAAAACCGCGATGATGGATTTTTAAAAATTTATCCTACTAAGTCAGAAGTGTCAAACTTTAATGTGTCTCTAACGATTTGCTTTGATAATCGGTTCTGGGCAGCAGAACCCAGTGATCTACATCGGGGACTGTCTCTTTGTTTTATTGTGACTGTTCCCATGTCGCTATCGTGGGACCTCCCCGTTTACATCCACGGACCCCCAATTTTTGTCCAGACCAAAAGACCCTTTGCAGATCCACCACTTTTGGTACCCTCGGTCTACAACATACACATCTTGAATTGACCTTCAGCAATCGAAAGGGTTTTGTCCTTTTAGAACTAATTAATTTATCGACGAGTGTTGATTGTTGACTGATCAGGAAATCAACATCTTTCTTCATGTATTTGATCGTTTTTTGCAACGGTAATAATTCTTGTTCATACACCGAGTGCAAAATATTTGAAATTTCGTTGCCAGTGAATTTTCCATTCCACCTTTTTGACTGACCTTCGCATTTTGTTTTGGAGAAATCTGATAATCCTGAAAGATATGATAGTACTTGTAACATTAATTTAAATTCGATATTGTAATCGCTTCGTCATGCCCGAACCTAAGGCCCAGAACAGACGGTGAAACGCACTGCTACGAAACTGCAACTGCTAGTTACTTTTGAATTGCATCTAAGTTTCTGCCATAGTGTCCGTTAAGAGACCACACATGACGCAACCAGTTTGACCAATTCAAATCGGTTTCAAACTGGTGGCAGAAACTTAGATGCAACTCAAAAGTAACTAGAAGTTGCAGTTTTGTTGCAGTTGCGTTTCACCGTCTGTTCTGGGCCTAACGGTAAGTATAAGTATGTAACGTTATCGAATTTACGTACGATGTTATTGAGGCAATTGACAAAGTATTTTTATACTTATTGTACTAACCATGCTTTCCTTTTAATGTGGGAAATGAAACATCCGGAGCGACAGGTTCTTGTTTAAGGATCTGCACACGTTGCGTAGGACTTTTGGTTCGATGAATTTGTATTGTCATGTTATTCTCCAAATCTATCGGTATTCGAATCTCATTAGAGTCCTCACTCAAGGGAGATTGTAAGACCGTTACTGAATCATTAGGGTATCTTACAGCTTCTACGGATGTATCGAGAGTTTTGAAAATTCTTTCTCTTCTTTCATTCATGTACGATTGGAATGCCATGTCTAAAGATATAGAGTTTTTCTTTAAGGAGCTTTTGGAGACTACCTGTGGTGACTTCTTTTCTGCACTATAATTAGATCTAGATATATCTGATTTAGTCTTGAATTTGTATTTTAGTGAGTTTGAGTAATTAATACTATTTCGCTCTGATTTTACTGATTGACTTTCGATAATAGATTTGCTTTTCTTAATCTTTTGTTCATCTAGCGATGATCGCGTTATAGGTTCCATAAATTCAGAGCTATTTGTAAGCATCTCAGATATATTTATTTCATTTAACATTTTATTTGCAATATCTTTGTCGGAATTATCTTTGTCATCAGGAAAATTATGGACCAAACTCTTATAATTCTCGAGGCCATCATTGCTATTAGAGATGTTTAACTGTTCCAATTGTGACGAATGTATTGCAGTATCAAGATTTTGAAGATTATTAGCTGGTATTCCATCAACAAGTCCGTTATAACGAGGATCTGTTAGTGGACTAAAGTCATCATCTTCTTTGGAAGATTCAAAAATTGTGTTGTATTTCCTTGGTTCTGTATCGTCGTAATTATCATCGTCATTGCTTATTACATTGTGTAATAGATTTTTATTACTTTGCGATATTTTTTTATCAGTACTTGAACTATTTTCTTGTAAAATGATATTATTATTTTCATTTTTTACATAGTCTTTATTTAAGTCTGGCTTCTTTGTATCTAGTTCGGTATCATCCACATCCATGTTTTCCATGAAATATTTATCAGTTTCTGAAAAATCTTTGGTGCTGGCATTTACAGCTTTAGCAGAAGGGATTATGTTAGATGTCCTTTTATTTTCTGATTGGATTATTCCTTTATAAGGTAATTCGTTTCTGGGAAATGGCAATTTATTATCTAACCTATTTTCGGGCGGTTCATTATCATTCATATCATAATCTGAACTCATCGCGTCATCAGCCGCCGACTGTTTACTGATATTATCGTTCTGATCATTAGGCTTAGCAGTATGACCAGTTACCAAATTGTGAGCGTCCATCATACTTCCTCCGGTGCCAGAAATTACGTCTTGATTTTCTTGAATGTTCTCATGCTCTCGTGGCTCATTTTGACGACTACGTGTAACCTCATCAACTGCAGATTGGGATTCAATTGTTCCTTTCGATTGTTCATTTTGTTTACTAGCTTTTGTATCGGTTTCCAATTGGGTGATACCTTTATCTAGTAAGTTTTTTTCGGGAAATGTCAATTTATATTCATCTAAACCATTGTCGTCCTGCATTTTATCATTGACATCATAATCTGAAGCCATGATGTGATCATCACCCGACTGTTCAAAATTACGACCATCTAGCATATTTCTTCCGGTGTTAGAGAAAAGGTTCAACGTTTCATTTTGACGATTTGGTGTAACCTCACTTACTGGAGATTGGGGTTTTATTGTTTCTTTCGGTTGCTCATTTTGCTTTGTTGATTTCGTATCGGTTACCAATTGGGTGATACCTTTATTAAGTTTTTCGGGAAATGCCAAATCAAATTCATCTACACTATTTTCTTTCAGCATTTTATCATTATCTGAAACCATGACGTGATCAGCGTTCGATCGTTTACTAATATAATCGTTTTGATCATTAGGCTTAATAGTATGACCAATTGTAAAACTGCGACCGTCTTGCATACTTCCTCTGGTGCTAGAGATAAGGTCCCGACTCTGTTGAAGATTTTGTTGAGCTTGTGCATCTAAATCTGATATCAAGTTAAGTGATGGCATCTCATTATGTAGAGGTCTTGATGATTTTTTAAACGATTGGTCATTCCGTACAGGTGAAGGAAGTGATGCAATTTTGTCTTTTTCTACCACTGAAATCGGTATTTCATCATGAAGAGTTCTTGAATATTTTCCTGAAAATTTAGTATCTTGTACAGGTGAAAGAGGTTCCGCCACTTTGTGTTCTTTAGTTTGGCCTTTTTCTTGCACAGGAATTGGCATTTCATTGGGTAAAGTCCTTGATTTTTTTACTGTTGACTGATCATCATCATATGAATCAACTTCATCATGCTTTTCATGGTATGATGATATATCATGTTTGTCTTCGGGGGTATCAACTATATTTGGCTTAATTAAATCAACTGGACGTGTTTGAATGCCAGACGTTTCTATTTGAGATTTAACTGTTGGATCAGCTGTTGTAACATTCAATTGAGCATTGAGTTCTTCATTATTCTTTTGTGGTGCAACAATATTGTTAGTGTAAGGCGTGTGTTCTTGTGAATAATTATATTTGGCATCGTTTGTCTCCAACATTTCACTAACTTCTTCCATTACAGTTGAATCTGATTCCACTAGTGTGCCCTTTTTGGTTACAGAATCTGGAACGTTTTGCGTTGAGATTTGCGTTTTTTCAGATTCTTTAACATGTCCTAAAGGTATCGGTATAGGTACCGGTATGATAACTTTAGCTTTTCCTTTTTTCCCATCGTCAGCATCATTGCTGCTTTTTTCATTTAACCGACTAGTTTTTGAACTGAAGAAAGCTTCTATGCTATCATCAAATGATTTTCTAGGCTTTTCTTCATTGCTTATTCTGTTTCTTAAACTCTTTTCATTACTATTAGTGTTCGTAAGTGGAGGATAAGTTATGACTGTGTCAGAGTATTTTGAGTCTAAAGAACCCTCTAGAGAGTTGTTATAAAGACTTAAAATACTATCCGATTCATCTTGAGATTTTGTTTTCGTTTTATTTCCAATACTCTCCTTACTAAGTTCATTTGAGTTATTTATGTTTCTTTGGTCAGCAACCATTGTAGATACTTTGATCTTCTTAGGTTTCTCAACCTTATCCTCAGTAATACCGGGCATTTTTTTTAGTGTTACTTTTTGTGTAGGTTCATACGAGTATTTTTCTTCGCCAAAAGGTGGATCTAGGCAACCTCCTGAAAATGTTATATGCGACGTGATTAATGAATACTAAATTACGAGAGACATTTTTTTTACTTTTGAGCAATTTTACCTGGTTTACACTTCCCAAGTATGCCATGTTTCTTTGTATGTATTTGTAGATCATCAGCATTATCGTAGTTAGTTTTAGAAAGAGTGAAGTTTTGCCTTATGACGCCGTCGGACTTGCTTGTAGTATTTGCGTCAGATACTTTAGCGTTGTATGCAGTACTTGGTGCGTAGGGCATTTCATCATCATCATACTGAGTTCCTAAGCAACGAGCTGCAATGAGTAATTTTTGATAAGAACGTGTTTTAATGTTGTTATTGTGCTTATTATTTTGATATATTTTTTGTTTGTTTTCCTTTGAAAATGTTGTTAATTCAGAATGATGAATCTAGGGACTAGCATATTCATGACACCACTTACCGAACAACGACTTGCGAGGTTTCCTTTTGGGTTTCTTCACTAAATTGGCTTCCATAGACATATTGAAGGACATAATAGTCTGGTCGCTGCTGATAACTCGAATTCTCTCTGGCTGCGCGTCAGGGCGTCCAAACTTGGGCACTGATAGCACGCCATGCTGTATCCTACTTTCATTCTTCTTTCGTACCCTTATCTTTACATTTAGAGGTGTTGTGTTCGAAGTGCTGGCCAATTTGTCATCGTCCTGAGGCACTGCTTCCACCTCAAACGATAGGCTGTTCACTATCTGATCTACCACGGATTCATTGCCCATTTTCTAGAATTAAGTTAAGCGACAAAAATCTAATTATTACAATTTATCTTTATGTGGGGTTCGCACTGCTGCTTCATCAGTGGTTTTTTTAATACCTAATATAACATAATATTTCCTACCAAATAGTACCTAGTACTTATTATTAGGTATGGGAAAAGAGAAAACCAAATCTTTATTACCGTTGTCCCCGTACGCGCTGTCCCTACCTACCTAAGATTTGTATTTATGTACGTACTAGCGGCCGCCCGCGACTTCGTACGCGTGGAACCCGTTTTACCCCCTTCATCTATCTTACGCGGTTTAGATTTTTTCATACAAATGTTTTTTCCCGCTAACTCCCGTTCCCGTGGGAAATTTGCAATATNTATTGTTTTCTTGCTATTTTACATATTTTTTCTAATTACCGTTAAATTAAGTATTAGCCTTATCTAATTACCGTGACCATAAAATTTTTGGGTCCCATTTACGAGAAAACCGCTTGGAATAATTTGACGCCTTAACGATTGTTAAATTCGTACTTTTCATGTGTTTCATATTTAAATGCGTTTAAGTCATTTAAGCCAAATTTCAAAAATAATATGGTAATTAGGCTGAGAACGCCTAATCGTGAGAATGACCGATAAGTCGAATTCTCTCTGGCTGCGCGTCAGGGCGTCCAAACTTGGGCACTGATAGCACGCCATGCTGTATTCCACTTTCATTCTTCTTTCGTACCCTTATCTTTACATTTAGAGGTGTTGTGTTCGAAGTGCTGGCCAATTTGTCATCGTCCTGAGGCACTGCTTCCACCTCAAACGATAGGCTGTTCACTATCTGATCTACCACGGATTCATTGCCCATTATTCTAGAATTAAGTTAAGCGACAAAAATCTAATTATTACAATTTATCTTTATGTGGGGTTCGCACTGCTGCTTCATCAGTGGTTTTTTTAATACCTAATATAACATAATATCTTCCTACCAAATAGTAGTAGTTATTATTATGGGAAAAGAGAAAACAAAATCTTTATTACCGTTGTCCCCGTACGCGCTGTCCCTACCTACCTAAGATTTGTATTTATGTACGTATGATTTTTATACTATGCCTGAACTCTATCAACTCGTTAGCAGTTACAAACATATCTACTTGTACCTAAATTATGAGAAAGAAAGCAAACTATAAAGAATAAGTTATAGGCTATTTTTGAGTTAAATGACACGTGCGTGGTGGTGGCAAAATTTAGTTACGCACTCTATGATGAACTAATAGGCTAGTTGCCTAAAAAAATTTTTTTAGTCCGTAATGTTTAATATCAAAAAATATTGGACACATATAATTTTATTTGTCAATCTAACAAATAATTACATAGTTATGGTGCGTTGAAGTTGCGCACGACGTCACAACGTGCGGCATTTTTACGCAAGCGTTGACGTCACGGGCCTCTTCTTATGAACTTTGGGGCGCTTTATCTCTTTAAATTTTCATTAGTTTGAAAAAGTGAAAAATACGTGTAGAGTATTTTTTGATAAGTTAACTGACGGACTAATTAAAACTCTTGCTTTTTGACCCAGGCAACATCCCCATTAGTGCCGCTAAAACACGTGTGTGTTCACACCGTGTATGGTTTAGGTAATCATATATCGTGCTATCGTGGGAAGCTGTGACGTGAATCTATAGTAAGGCCACAAGACGTCGAAACGACGTAACGAGAATACTGTTAAAAACTTTTTTGGTTAATTGGGTGATGAAATTAAATGTTTTTCTAGCATCAAATGCTTAAAAAAACAAGAAATACTGCCAGGACTTAATTTATTTAAACATTCTTATCCATCAAACACAATTGAATAAACAACACGGTTGGAGTTAGCTTGTTTCTTTGTTTTACATCCACTTATTTGTTTTTCACTGTTGACTTCATTATTTATTAAGGGTTTTTGTTGAGATTTACTCCAACTGACACCAAGAGACGAGCATTTACTTATAATATCACTTAGCATAAGTTTCAAGGGCATGATTTCGTTTTCCATGATCTGCACAAAATTTGCCACTCTCACTTCTGGAAGTACTCTGTGGCTGGTGACGCAGTCGTACTGTTTAAATGTCTTGCAGAAGTTGTTGTGATTCCTTGTGTACAAACTGAAGTACAAATCGTCACTTTTAACTGAGTTGCCTCTGATCTCAGCACATGCAAATTCTTTCTGGGTTTCGTATCTAAGGTAGACAATCGTATTGGAAGAAATTCGTTTCACTGGTTCTGCTTCATTGTCCTCGGTATTGATAGAGCATATCGGAGTTAGACTTAGATTTCGTCTCGTCTCTAGTTTGTTATTGATCGTAAACGCTTTCCCGAAATTCCCAGACGACCTTTTGTCTTCAACATTACTTGGTGTTTCTGTATTTATATTTTTATCTATTGACTTTTCATCACAGTCTATAATGTCGGCGTTTGTAACCTGAACAACATGAGATTCACTTTGAACTACTGAAAAATAAAATTTACAAAATTAAAAATAAAGCAGGAAATAGCTAATTTCGAGTAATTTTAAAGGAATAATAGGAAATATACTACTTTTACCTTCTGGTGAGGTTTGAGTTGTAATCGTGTCTCGCGATTTATAATTTGTCCTTTTAATTCTTCCATTGTTTCCTAATTCGTCAGTAAAAAAGTGTTCATTATTGCTGTCGGTTTGTACTTGAGTCGTTATTAATTCGATCGATTGTTCATTTCTGCTGTCAGCATTGGGTTCCATGAATATAATGCTACACTTCTCGACGTCTGTGGTGACCTTGCTGAGCACGAAGGTGTCGCTGACTATTCTGCTGATGTCCCCTGATCCCAGTCCCATTATGTTTGTATCTGACGATGGAAGCAGCAAATCTACGCACGAATGATACGTCTTATCTAACGTTTCTGTCTCATTTATATTATCTTTAATTACATTTTTTTTCCTCAATATAATTTTGTACGTCATAGGTATAGTGTACTCGATAGAGTTTTCCTCTTTCCTCCATTGTATTTTGTCTAGATTCTGTATGCAGGTTATCTCTGGAACTATTTCCAGGCAATGTTTGGAATCCTCTTTTTGAAGATTTTGTAAGAGTGGCGTGAATTTAATACGCAGGCATGCAGTTTCCATTTTGGCAAGACTACAGGCCGAATAGAGGCTGAAAAAAATAAACAATGAAAAATAAAGTATTTGCTTGTGTCGGGCTCTATAACATTATTTTTGTATTCTTGAAAATACTATTACCATATAATACTTTCAGCCATATCACTTAAGTGTAAGAATAATAACTACAGTAGGTAATCGCATGTGCTAGCTTAAAGGAGGCTCTACCCACCCTTTACCTACTTATTTGTTGAGTTTAGGTTGTTAATAATGTTATTCTATGATTATTTTAATCAAAGGTGTTATTGTACTTTGTGATGATATGTATTAAAGAGTAATAAAATACAAAGCATATTATAATAAGATAGCTAGGCAGTTTATCATTGAGCCTACAGCAATCCGGGTTAGGTGTATAACTTTCTAAAGTGATAGGTAATTTAAAGCCCTTGAAGCAATTAATTTTATTAAATTAAAAAGACCAGTGCAAATACAATCGCTTTTCTGCCAAACTTGGTAATTAATTCCATTCATTAATTTACATCGCCCAGAAACTCCTGACTATTTAGAAAAGGTTTAATTTGGTTCGGGAATCGAATCTGCGACTCAGTACAGATACTATAACCTCGCAAGAACCAATAACCACGCTTTCGTGTCAAAATAAGTAGGGGAATAGACGATAACAATAAATTATTTATCTGAACTTAATTTCTATGTCATCTTATAATTAAAAACAATTACCTTGTAAGCTGAATAAAAAGTAGGCGGTCGGCAGTTTTCTGCAGACATAGGTGATCTTAGAATATTATTTAACACATAATTTAGAAAATAACATATTTTTCCGTGAAGACTGAAATTTTGAAATAAAATGACATTGTAACATGTATGTCAAATATACCTCATTTTAAAAATTTCTTACCCATACAAAAGAGGTTATTACCGTTTTGTTGTTTATTTAAGAGTAGGCGCACACCGTTGATTTTTCGTCGGCCGATAGTTTAGTCGGGCAGTTGACAAGTATGGGCATGGGAGTGCGCACACAACGCAGATTCGATTTGGCCGATTCTTCATACAATTTGAAATCGGGCACAACTATCGGCCAACTAAAAACCAACGGTGTGCGCAAGTGTGCGCCTACAATAAAGCATTTGTTTTTATAATAATAATAATTTATTTAATTCGGACCAGAATAATCCATATTAAATTTAGATACTGTGGTTAGTTTGTAAGTTATTATTGAGTAGGTACCTTGATTAAGTTAAGCTATCGCATTAGGTCTTACCTGTAAATATAGTGTAAATGTGTTTTAATGGCCATAGTATAAAACAATATAAGAAATACGGCCGATTGGTTAAGATATTGGCACATACCTATACCTACTACAATATAATATTAAATTATAATAACCAACTTTCACGATGTGAAAACAATGCCAGAGTGGTTACAGGTTCGAATTCCGCTTGGACAAAGAACTGTGACTATGCACATACATTATTTAGGTGTATGTTATAACGTTTCTTTATAAATATCTACGTTACTCATGAGTTATCTATAATAAAATATATAAAAACAGCTGAGTTGGGGGTTAGATAAGTGCATTGCGATATTTGAAAATACTATTAATATTATCTTATCCTCAAGTGTTCTCATAAATTATACGACATGTTAATATGCTGAGAAAACACGGATAAACAAATACAATATACCTCGTTGCAATATAATTGCAGCTACCGGCTTTGCTTGTAGCAATAACGTTTTTTCCGCATTCAACAGAACAAAATAATCGCAAAACTTACTTGAAAGTAGTTTACTCAGAATACGTTATTATTCCTTTGGTCTTTTTTCATACTTCATGACATAAACAAAACACTTATACAGGGTGTACCAGAATGGGTGAGTACCTGCATGCCAAATTTTAAGCGTCTAACTTAAGCGGTTTAGATTTTTCATACAAAAAGATTTTCCCGCTAATTCCCGTTTCCGTGGGAATTCCTTTCTTAGTGCACCTCTACGGTACCTAAGCTACGTCCCTTCCAAATTTCAAGTGCCTACGTTTAGCCGTTTAGGCTGTACGTTGATATGTCACTAAGTCAGTCAGTTTCTCCTTTTATAATATTTAGATGTGCTCTAAATTCGAAATCTAGTCATTATTTTCAAAAGTTAGTTTGTTTACAGAAAAAGTACAAATCTCCAAACGCAGCAATTATAGCCAGATACTTAGGCAAAGCTGATTTATTTTCATTTTGCAAAAAAAAAATTTTGTGTCCTTATGCGCTTTTTTTTCTTATTTTTTAGTGATAGTACATTAGTATAGCTACCTCCCCTATCAGTTTGATTCACCCATTCTGGGACACCCTGTATAATATGTTATTTTATTTTGAATTCGATCACGGTTAGGTAGGTACTCGTTGCTTTTTTACAAGTTTGTGCCCGACTCGCCATTTCATTTTTTATTTTGGTGATTGTTTACGTGTAGTAGAGTCACTCATCAGGTTAACTAATAAAATAGTAATATTGTAGTAGGTGTGTGTATTGTGTAATGACGTAGCCCTTTGATAACTTTTAACGATATTTGGTATAAATTATCGAGCAATTGAGTAGGTACCTAATAAGTACTTACATAAAACTAAATGAATAAAATAAAACCGATTTGGAGTAATTTCTTTTTATTCTCAAAACTCTCGCTACTTTACAATTTTTTACATAACGCACGACATTTTTATAAACTTTTTACAAATTCAGCTTTCATTACGATATGCCACTTAGTTATTGCTCTTAAAATTACAATTTACGATGTAACTCTATAAATTAGTAAATCATAAAAACCAAGATTTTAAAAATAATCTAGTTTATGTTATAAGTTAGCCAAGTAAAAAATGCAATCACAGATAAGTCGTCATTCAGAATATTTTGCGAAATAAGTTATGTTAACGCTAAAACAGCAAAATAAAAACATTTATCTATTTATTGACTCTATAAACTTCTAAGTTTATTCATATTCGATTTATTATTTGTACATTGGTAACTTGGAATTCAAAAATTGCCTGTAACAAAAAAAAAGATTTTACTAAATTATACTTAATTTCAAGGCGACCTTGTTCTCTTCTAAGATCTTGTTCTTTAATATATTAATATTTACACTATCACGAGATAAAGTAACTGAATCCAGAGGCACACAGTAGTAAATGGCTGTTTTAATTTCTTAAGTAGTTGAAAGTTGAAGATTAGACAAACAAGCATCCGTAAATGATAGTCTTTTTCTTACTACCAAATTAGAAAAAAATATTAACGGAATACTAAACCACTACCTATCTCACCGAAACGATTAGATATCAATTATACAGGGTGGAATTTTGTAATGCCACTTGGAGAGAAAGTACTCTTAATACTGTAGATAGAAAATTTTACTCAAAGGAAACATTCCTTAATTTAGGAAAAGAAATAGAACTGCTTTCAAAGATTTCTAAAAGTTTACTTGCCACACCCGGGAATCGAACCAACTAAAATTTGTTAAAAATTACAGCCTGTATTTTTATTGCATCGAACGTTAGGGTTAAGTATAAGGATGAAATCTCTCTAAAAAACTTGATAAATCAAATGAAAGGAAAACGATGAAATCTTAAATTATTTTTATTATTTACAGAAAATTGTATGGGTATGATGGTGAATTTTCGAAATATTTTCGAAAATCTTTGAATGCAGTTCTCATTCTTTTCAAAAATAAAGGAATGTTTTCTTTGAGTTCAATTTTCTATCTACAGTATTAAGAGTACTTTCCCTCCAGGTGGCATTACAAAATTCCACCCTGTAACATATCAAATTCAACACATAAAACAGCCATATACTATACACATAGCTTAATTTATACATACATACGTGAGCACTCATTATTTACACTTACTTAATCAGTGTTTAATTCTAAAGAGTTCTTTTGGTCCAAAGGACTATTTTAAACTAACGTATCTTATAACTGGACCATAGAATTAAAAACTTCTAACTAAATTAAACTTTACAGCACACTAACCTAGGACTAGATATTTGAGATCATCCTGAAAGCCAATCATCTCATTATAAATATCTACTTATTAACTAATACATCGCTATGACGTCCCAATTTTTAATTATACATACATTACATTATAATTATGTACTACCTATGTTTATCTGAACATCCAATTCCACAGCTGTTTTAAAACTTATTTCTAGAGGAAAAAAAACTATATCTATAAAACTTTTTGTAAAAACAATACTATGCTAGCCAAGTAATAAGCCTCGTATTCTTTAGACTCTAGGGTACATAAAAATATGATAATTACGGTAATCACAAAACCAAGATAAATAACGAGTATAACATTCGGGTTGCAAATAATGTAAAACCGATTATGGGTACCATCTGCATTATAGAAATCACTAGGAGCTCACTTTACCATAATAGGTACTAAATTTAGAGACTCATATTCCTGTAAACTACGAAGCTTTCAGACTTTTCTGGGCCATCTTTTCCAGCCTCTCCGATCTACAACATAGGTTTCGTTCGTTCGTTCGTTTCAGACGCGAAAGACGCAGAATCGGTCTTCGTGGAAATCCTTGGGGAAGGCCTTTGTCCAGCAGTGGACAACATAGGTAGGTACTTTATAAGTAATTATTCCAACTAATATTATAAATGCGAAAGTAACTCTGTCTGTCTGTCTGTCTGTCTGTTACGCTTTCCCGCTTAAACCTCGCAACCGATTTTGATGAAATTTGGCATAGAGATAGTTTGAGTCCCGGGAAAGAATATAGGATAGTTTTTATCCCGGTTTTTGAAACAGGGACGCGCGCGATAAAGTTTTTCTGTGACAGACAAAATTCCACGCGGGCGAAGCCGCGGGCGGAAAGCTTTGACAAATAAAAGATAGGTTTATGTACTAAAAGGCTGGTTGATCGTAAATTGGCAGTTTGTGAAAAACTAAATAAATTAAAAATTTATAAGAGTCCCCTAAAAATACGAAGCTTTAACTAACTTTGCAAAATTCCTTGAAGATATAAAATAAATATTAAAACAGAAAGCTACGCTTTCGACTAGTCTACTTTAAAAAGTTAAGGGCTATTGGATTAGCTTAGTAATTATGGACTAATCATCTGCTATACTCTCGACTCTCTAAAGCACAACATTTACAACAACAAATTCTGCTGCGGTAATGCACTCAACTACACAGTAACCTATTTTTATTGCATAAATGTCCCACCTAATCACCTCGTGGCGCGTTCTACCGTAGCCTAATCAAATTTGTAACTTCCATCGTGCTCTGACGCTCAGAAGAGCGACCTTTATCCCCTTTTGTTCACATTTAGGTAAAATTATTGTAAACTTTTGTTACTTTTGTAATTAAATTGAAAGCTCATACATAGATCGCAGATGTTCCAGAAAGCTTTGTTTCGCTGAAAGAAAAAGTTGACAGTCGTAAGTGAATTTAAGAAGAAAATCAACTTAAGTTTCTGTTTCGTTGCACAGTACTTATTATTATTCTGTGGTTGCACGTAGATAGTCCCAGATGCATAAAATTATTTGAAAAAAAAAAGGAAAAGGATAATCCAAAATTAAATTAAGCTCAAAATCATAGTCGAGCCCACAAATTTTTCAGTCAATTTTCTATGAGAGTAGAGAGGTATCAATTTTATTATAAAGAGTGCATAATAAGGTGAAGTGAGTAGGTAACTCGTACACATAAAACTAAATGTTTTTGGTAAGTACTTACTTACCTACGTCGTAATAATAAAAGCATTGGGCAAAACATTGATGTAGTTTCAATAATTCGTTTACGTAAAGTAACCGTTTACACACAAATTAACATGATAAGAAACA